CTGTCCCTTCTGATGCTCCTGCTAGACAGTTCATCCTGCCAGGGAAAATGTCTTTCTCCAAGACACTAATTAGGGTTCCTTCTAATCTGTAGCACTAAATTGGAGAGTGAGCTGGAGAGAAGCCCTTGTTGCAGTTAAATGTTAATTCTTTCTGCACTTTCCCAGACTTCCTCATAATTGCACCTACATTTTGCTGGACTTAAGCCCAAGCTTATTTCCAAGTCATCAACCATTAATTGGGAACTTATTGTGCAGGTTTGGCCAGAAGGCAAATCCCACCTGTGTTATTGCAGTGTTTGGCAGAAATAACTGTTGTATAAGAAAGATGCCCATCAACCAAAGCAGTTGGGAGCTGCTGCTGTATCCCTGAGATCCTGTGAGGGAAGGGCAGAGCTGCACCCTGGGATGAAGATCTGGCTCCTTCACTGGAAGTGCAGGATCTGCCCACAAGAGGCCCTGTGTTGCTGTGGCGATGGCAGCAGGGTGGATAACATGATGGACTGGAACCTCAATTGCCACCTGTCCAGCTTCTTAATCACCCTGTTTGTTTCCTGGACTTTATTACAAAGACATTGATGGAGTTAGACTCAGTGTGATGCTCCAGATTGATCTGGGTATGTGCAAATGTAGGAGGAGCAGAGGTATTCATTGCAAGTGAATTGTTGGTATATTGAGGTGAAAATTAAATTACATTGGGATCTTCTTAATGAGCTGCTCTATAAGTGTTGCTTCTGACTTCTGATGTTCCTCTCTGAGGCAGCCTGTTTGAATGTGGCCTGGGAAGCAGCTTTGCCTGTGTAGAGTACAGAGAGAAAGGTGAGAGGGGGAAGGAAGTGTAGTGGGATCCCATCTGTGGAGCCCATACTTAGGCCATAGCTGGTCCTGCCTTGATACAGCTTGGTGTTGCTCCAGATGTTATCAGACCAAAAAGAGCTCAAGGCACCTGAATATATACTTTTAGGGAAGCAGGGCAAAGAAGCTATAACCAGCTGTAACAGAGAGCAAATACAGAGTGCTATAAGGATGCAGAGAAGTCATTATGGTAGTAATATGGCATATACCAGTTTTCTTGTGAGTAAATGCTTAGATTTAAAGGAGTACTGAGTCTTGAGACTCTTACTTCCCTCTCCTGATATTCCTATTTCCTACACGTATTATAAGATCATGGAATCAGCAGCAAAACTGAATAAATGTTGTAGGTGGTGTATAATCAGCTTAGTTTTGTGGAGAGAGGGAAACCAAATGAGGGGTCTGGCTGCTGGATCACAGCAGAGGGAAGGGACTTCCTCCCACTTCTCAGGCTTTCCTGTGTCAGAGCATTAATCACCAGTGTTTTTATTTCCCTTCCCTTGCGCTTCTCCAGAATAGATGGGAAATTTTATTTTCTTACTGAGGATGGTCAGTCTTCATAACAGGTCTTCCAGAGAGGTTATGGAGTCTCCATCCATGGTCAGCTGGCTCTAGGTGGTCCTGCTTGTGCCCAGTTCTGGTCTCCCCAGTATAAGGAAGGTATGGATTTACTGGAATGAGTCCAGTGCAGAGCCACAAAGCCAATGAAGGCACTGGAATACCTCTCCCATAAGGAGAGGGCTGGGAGGGAATTGTACTCATTTAATGTACACATACTCATGGACAATTAAAAAAGCCTGACTATTTGCAATATATGCATAACTCATGTCCTGGGTTATGGTCTGTATTTGTGCAGTCAATGGAGAAGAGAATTTCCCAATCTCTAGCTTGTATTTATGGATAGTTGAGGATGCAAAAGGCAGTAGTGGTATTTGCTGTGAGTTTGATGTGAGCTCCCCTTTGCATTGAGCTGAAGTGCTGAGCCCTGGAGGGTTCACAGAGCCATGTCCAGCCTGAGGCAAGCGAGAATCACTTCGCCTGTGGAGGTGGGCTTGCTTGAACTGTTTCATGGGCAAAAGGCTGCTGGACAGGTAGCTGAAATGTGTCCTTTCTGCAGTGATGGTTATTTTCCCCATGGGTGGAGAATTGTTCCATGTCCTTGCAGGAGACTGGCTTGACCATTTTGTCTTCATGCTCCTTAGATTTGTTTTCTTGTTCAGTTCCAGTTGCTTCTTCATGTTCTCATTCCCTGTCACAACAAACACCAAGAAACAAGCAGGAGCTTGTTCAGCCCAGTTGCTGTGTTTCCAAGTCACACCAATTAGTTATCTTCCAATGCTGCTGTGGTGACACCCTTCAGGTGTTTCTTGTGTGTTTTGCTTTGTGGTGCTGTTTTTCTTAACTTTGTTTTAGCACCTTATGGTGAAATATACTTGGAAACAAAATTGCATATGTATTTCTTGTGACTGGAAGGAAAAACTGGAAAGCAGGCCAGAAGAGCTTTGCAAAGGTTTAGAAGCCAGAAGGCAACGAGAAAAGATTCTAATGTCTGCTCTTCTGTTTCAAGGGGGTTTTAATTAAATTATTTGGTTCTTTTTTTTTTTTTTTTTTTTTTTTTTTTTTTTTTTTTTTTTTGTTGAAGACCTAATGTTTTTGGAATTGGTGGCTGTTGTCTCTGTATTATGGTGATAATGTCAGGAAAACTGATGATTATGGCTTTCAGGAAGGTGTTTTGTTCTACTAGATTCAACTCCTTTGTGAGCCTAGAAGCACCAAACAAGAATAAATAGGAAACTTTCTTTTACTTGGAATTGCAGAGGTAAGTATTTTCTCTGAAACTGGTGTCCCCAGGGTAAGAATAAGCTGCTGTTTCTCTGATAACTCTCCTTCTAGCTTCCTAATTCTGTATGTTCTTTTCAGAACATGCTGCCTCCTTGAACCTTTACTGTTCTGGAAGGGTATAAAATCAGAATATCTGTGAGAAGTATTTTACCGATCTAGTGAGAATCCATTATAATCTTCCAGGATGTGGCACATTTAAAATGTGTATATATTATCTACTTAATATGTTTTGATTATTTCAAAGCCTCTAGTTGAGATGGACTGTTTCTTATCATATGATGAGTTATGCACTCTTGTATTTTGTATTATTTATCAATGACTGTAGTTCTGGAGAGGGAGCTGAAAGGATGCTGTTTTTGAATGGGAATGATGATATTTCCATGTGGTGCAGACAAACTTCTTCCTTCTCAAATAGTGAGCTAACAGTGTTTTACATCACATCTGCAACCATGTGATGGCCAGTGATAATGTAAGGAGAAATTTCAATTGCTGGTGTAGTGGGCTGCATTAAAACCGTGTGTCACAAGCAGCCTTTCTTGTCCACTTGAGGGCAATCAGCAGTATATTCCTGTTTTGTTGGTGGTATTATGGTTAAAATGGAATTGTTTACATGAGAGCCAGGTGCTAATCTGCTTTTTCATCCTTGGCTCTTGATGTCATCTTTGTGACTTTCCCAGTAATGTTGATTGAGTTGGGCACGTAAGAGTCCAGGCAAGAAAATTCTTAGTTGTAGCTTTGGGTCTTTGTCTTGTGTGTCCACATCTTTTTGCTTAATTTTTGTAGGACAAGTTGTGTAGGTTGCTCCCTACAGAAGCTACTGAACTCTCTTATATAAGTATTCTGCATTTGTCCACTGTGTCTTGTCTGACAGTCACCTCTGACCTGGGCACAGGGCTGTGATTCTGGACTGCAGCATCAGCAGAGAGGCACTTCTGTAAATGATTTCTGGATCTTATTAATTAGTCTAGTGATAAACACTGCTGATCTCCCTGTGCATATTGTCAGCACCTAGGTCAGACTGAGGAAGGGGGAAAGGCTTCTCCCTCCTAGACTTGGAGCTGCCTTGTTCTCTACCTTCAGCTTATGCTCTCTTTTCCCACAGGTAGATGCGGTGCGGGTGTATGTGAACAGCAGCTCCGAGAACCTCCAGTACCCCGTCCTGTTTGTAGTCCGCCAGCAGAAGGGAGTGCTCTCATGGCAGGTCCCACTGATTTTTCGAGGCCTGTAAGTACTGGAGGCTCTTCTCTGTGACACACTCCTCTACCAGCCTCCCTCACCTGCTACGTCTTGTAACCTGCGTACACTGCAGGGCTGTGGTCCACTGTAGTACACTGTTGGTCCTTGCTCACTGCCAGCTGAGTGTAGGAAGAGCAGGATTTGATAGATAACCTCTCACTTGGCAGCCTGCTCTTGGCTCTTAGCTTCTCAGATATGTGCACACAGTACCAGGGGGCTTGTCTGCAGGGGATCTGCCTGTGGCACCAGTCACTGAATCTACCACACATCGTTGCTGTCATTCCACAGTTGCCTGCCATGTGTGCAGGTAGTTCCTGGGCTCTGGTTTGGGACATGGTTTGAACAGGCTATTGAAAGAGCACTGTAGCTTCTGTGTAACAGTGCATTTGGGGCTTCTCTTTCTAACCTCAGGAACATCTAAGTTAAGTTTATTGTAGGGGGTGGTTTGGGGCTGCTTCCTCTTCTAGAGTGTTATTGTTTTGGGGCTGCTTCTTTATGAAAACAGTGCTGCTTTGTATCTTCATTGACCCCAGAGCTCGGTGGGCTGCAAATAGAGAATTTTCAGGCACCTTAGTCCATTTCATACGTGAAGCTTCATCCTGTGGCTGAATCTGGTGCCAGCAGCAGATATCGTGCAGTGTTTTGCCTGATGCAGGTGATGGGTGCAGCAGTGGCTGTCAGTGCTCTCTTTGCCTCCACTAAATGGCAGATGTTAGAAATCCACAGCTGTCGTGGGCATCCCTGAGGAAAGTGAAATGTTGAGGATGACCAGTCCCTTGTGCAGATTGCAAGAGGCAACAGAGGTGGGGCTTGAATGCTGAATAAAAGAGTGAATGCTCCTGAGCTTTTAGAAGACAATTTCATTTATGTAAACAGAGGCAAAATGATGCCATTCTTAGTAGTGCTGAAAAACTTCTTAATTGTTCTCTCTCTCTTTCCTATACGACTTTCTCTTCCCTCCTTTCCCTGGCTGTTGTAGCTACCAGAGGACCTACAAATACCAAGAAGTGAGTAGGACCCTGTGTCCCTCTGAGCCAACACCTGAAACAAGACCCTCTGACCAGATTATATTTGTGGACGTCGCTTCCATGGCACCGTTCAATATTGCATATGAGCTGCTAGTCACCAGGCTGGAGAACTTCCAACTTGAGTAAGCTGGGATGTGAGAATACAAATGCAATTTCTTCATGTATCACTTGAACATCACTTAAGGCACTTGGTCCGTCTGCCTACTCTTCCCTTATTTTTCCTTCCTAGGGGAAAAAAAATTCTTTTGTTTAATCTGAGGGTATTTTGGGTGTGTTCCGGTTCTAAACGTTTTAGACTTCAACATTTTAGCATTTGTTTTCTAGGACCAACAAAGCCTTTAACTTCACTGCCAGCCCTTCCCAGCCCCAGGTAAGGAGAATCCTGTGTAGATTACTTGTATGTCTTACCACATCCAAGTGGTTGATGTGACTGTTGATCTTTCTATATGAAATTTAGAGTTATATGATAGATATATAGTTTAATTAGTTATATACTAATACAGTGAAGAATCTAGAAAATATGAAAGCTAAAACTTAAGACGTCAATATGTCTGTTAGTTCAGAAGGAGGCACATATGAGCAGCACCTCCAGCTGAACAGCTTTGTTTAGAGCCCTGCAGATACAAATCCCCTCTTGAATGAAAATGCTGTTGGCAGTAACTGTAGAGATATAGGAACTTGTAGGGCTATGAGGGTGTGTGATTTACCCAGGCTTCTGGGACTCTGTTTTTGTTGTTGCTTTCACTGTTAGTAACACCATTTAATTTTAGGTTTTGTATTACCAGGCATCCTAGCTAATCCTTTTTGCTGACAAATGTCTTAATCTGGTTTGCAGATTCATGCAGTGTTTTATACTATAGAAGCATAGGGAATGATGGTGACTCTTTGTAAGCACTCATTACTTAGGATTTTGTGATTTGAATATAGAGTGTTTAGGATGTGAAATGAACTTTGTGACTGTGGTCTGATTTTTTTTGGTCACAATTAATAATACAAGATTTATGACTTTTAATTAATAACCAGGTGTATGGAGTAGAAGACTTCTTATTTGGTGTAATGCTGAGGTTTTTGTAAATCAAAGTATTAAGCAGTCTGCAGGGGAAAGAAAGAAAAAAAAAGATGATTTAAAATCTAGATGGGTGTTGTAAAAAGACGTAACAACTGAAGGAGATGTTGTCTGGAGCTCAGCTTGTGCCTGAGGGCAGAGGCAGAAATTGGATATGCTTGTATAGGTGAGAAGTGTTGGCTGGATGTGTTTTTAACACTTGCAGTGTGTGCAGCAGAGAACTGCTGGCCTCCATGCCCTTGTGTTAATTCTGTACCTTGGTGCAAGCCTGGCTTAGAGAAAATTATAGAAGAGTCCTCATGAACTAAAAGGTGGTCCTCATGCCCCTAAAACTTTCCAAGGGGAAAAAGTGCCCCTGGGAAACCAAGGAGCTCAGTCTGCCCGTGTCCTTGCTTGGTGCAGATGAAACGTGCTCTGCTGAGGAAACTGGCTTGGTGAGTTTGCACTTTGTAGGGACTTGTGGTTGGAGCCAGCACTCCTTCCGCAGGGAAGGGACCCTGCTTGGGGAGGGGTGCTGGGAATAAATGCTTTAGTAGAAATGGGCAACTTGGAAAAGGCTTGGGTTATTTCCTGCTTGTCCCGCCCTCCCAATTCAGGGAGGTAATTCCTGGGATTGGCATGGGGAAAGAGAAACAGGAAGCAGCTGGCCCTTGCTCAGTAATAAAATTTATATGCTGGAAAGGGAGCTCTACAGTTGGGAATGTCTCAGGTGATGGTTTTGGAGCAGGGGTGTCGGTAGCGTCCCGTGTGGCAGCGGTGGCTGCCTGGTGACCATATGGAAGGGAGGAAGGTGGCTGGTGGCACTCCTCAGCCTTGTGTCCCTCTGAGGGGGTATGAGGTGCCCATCAGCCCCTCGTGGTAGCTGTGGCTTGGAGCCTGAGCTCTCAGGGTCTGGCCTCCAAGTGGGGTGATGGGAGCCCTTGCAACAAGCATCCTGCTGGGGCAGGCACAGGAGCCCCACTTCTCCAGCAGCAGGTTGGGGTAGTGCATCAAACTTTTTACTGAACAAATATACAAATAATGATGTTGCCTGGGACATCTTTTGCCCAGATCTGAAAAAACAGCTTTTTCTAACCCCACAAACTCTCCTATGGGCTTGCTCAATGAAGGAGATGCCATTCTTTCCCCCATAGGAAAAGTAGGAATATTGCCAGATATGAGTGTCTCACAAATTTTTTTAGAGTTACAGCTGAATTATTTTCAAAGCTCAGGTGCAAAAAGAAACCCCAATTATGCTTTGCTATCAAAGCAAACAAATAACCCTAAATCCTACAACTAATATCAATCATTTATTTATTAAACTCTTGACGGATTTTCAGCCATTTGACCCAATACTGTTCATGGTCTGTCTTTAGGACAGCCCATTTGAGAAAGCTCTGTGATGTTTTCCATCTATAAAAGTACAGCCAGCAGTATGGAAACATCTGGAAATTGCTCATATCAATGTAAAATGGAATGGGGTGTAAATGAAGTCACTTTAGCTTCATCAGGTGGAAAAAAGCTTAAGGGAGCAGAAGCTATGCTGTATTTTGCTCGTTGCAGATGTTTGTGCCTAATAGCATACTGTGCAAGGGGGACAGTTGCCTGTATATATTTAATCTGCTCTTCTGCAGTGTAAGGTCCTAATATTTGAAGTCTGATTTTTTTATGAAAGCCATCCACATCCAACCCCAAAGCCCATCTAGGGCTGTTGAGGTAGCTTGGGATAGTGTTGAAGATACTGTCAAGGGTGATTTCTGGCTCATGACTCTTGTACTCTGCTTTCTCTGCAGTATTTTCTGTACAAATTTCCTCAGGGTGTCGATTCAGTTATTATTAATGTGGTGTCTGATGCAGCCTACCCGTGCTCAGTTGTCTCTGTCCAGGACATTGTGGTAAGTCTGAGCAGAGAAGGGTAAGGAGCTGCCTGCTGGAGCTCTGTCCAGCTGTGGGGGGTCTGGGCCCTGCAGAAGGAAAAGCCCAAGGGAGGACTTTGCCCTGGTGGTGGTGGTGAAGGGAGCCCCTGAAAGAGGAATGAGAATTCTGTGGGAAGGAGGCCAAGACAGAGATGCTGAGTTCAAGCGGCTCGTACGGAGACTTTTGTTGTAAATAGGTGAACAAGCTATTCCTTTCTAGCCTATCCTTAGGGAACACATTCCACAGAGGGAATAGATGTCTCCCTTGTGAGGTTCCCTGCTGCCCTGTGATATGGGTCTGTCTCTCCATGGAGGGTGTTGGGTGGAATGTTGGTGGCTCAAAGAGGGAACAGTGCTGCTCCCTTGACTCTCCCCTGGCTCAAGGCAGCTTGGGGAGCTTCTGATTTTCAGACACACAGTGTCTTTCTTCCTTTCCAGTTCGAGTTCCTTTCTATATGTTTCATCTCCTTTCCTGGGGTGTTCCTGTCATGGAGGTTGGCTGTTGCTTGCAGCTGGGAAATAGCCCCATACTTATTCCCTTTTCCCACTTCCCTGAGTAATGTAGGGGGCTGCAGTATAGGAGCAGACAGAGATGCAAGATGTTCTGTTCCCCTGGATACCCCAACTGGGGCCTTTTTTTCGTTGTTCTGTGCTGTGTTTTCCAGCTGGCTTCCTTTGAAAATAGTTTGGATGTTGTCCCTGGTTTAACTCTTAGTTGTCTGTTTTAGTGCCCAGTGTATGACCTGGACCATAATGTGGAATTCAATGGAGTTTATCAGTCTATGACAAAGCAGGCAGCCATAACAGTGCAGGTGAGATGCTGATTTGTGTCCCAGTGTTTTCTAGTGTCTGTGTAGCAGTTAAAACCTGATCTCTGGGCTGTTGGGTGGGAGAGGCTTTGTGTCTCATGGATTTTCTCTCTTCTTCCATCCTTCTGTGCAGAGAAAAGATTTCCCAGGTGAGCAGTTCTTCGTTGTGTTTGTCATTAAGCCAGAGGATTATGCCTGTGGGGGTTCTGTGCCTTCTTCAATTCCTGGTAAGTTGTTCTGGGAGGTGGATTTGATTGCTGCATCGGAGGGATGGAGCAGTGGGTGTCTTTTGGGACCTTCCTGTGGGATACCACTGATTATGTAGGTCTGTCTTATCCAGCTAGTTGTGAGGAAGAGTGAAGTATCAATTTGATATTGTTGGGCAGTTTAAAAGTCTTGATAAATGCAGGAGGTGGCGGGCTAGTACAGTGCCTGGTATGCTGGGGTTGTGTGCTTTTCAGCAGCAGCACTGGGGCCTTGGGAGATACTGGAGTCATCCAGGCAATGCTGCTTACAGCTTTTTGTTTGGTTCTCACCTCTGCTCCCTGCTGCTGTATTATCCTGTCTCCATGGAGTCTCAGTTCCTGCAGAGAGTATCTTCTCCTACTGCTATCTTGGGATCTGTGACTGCTCTGAACTTGGGGGAACAGGAAAAATTGATAATTCTGGGAAAACAGTTTTACAAAAGATTTGTTCTAGTGTCTTTTCCAACCAGAAAACACTGTGTCCACTTGCTGGACAAAGCAAAGTCTCCACCACTCATGCAGTGACTGTAACTGGAGTGGGAACATTCCTATTCTCAAAGCCTCAAAGCTTTCTCTCTATAGAATAAGCAAGACTGCAACCAACAGATATATTGGGCTCCCTCAACAGCTTTTTACTACTCCCCTACCACCTTTCTGCCCCAATTTTCCCACAAAAAAAAGAACTGCGCCTTTTGGGGTGTCATTCTCTCATCCTGAGGCTGTCAGCAGAGCTGTACTGGCCAGGTGTGCTAAGCCCTGCAGAAACAGAGTGAGTTTCTAGAGTGGCATCCTGCACAGAAGTGTTTTGCTCACAGAGATTTGGCCAAAGGCAAAAATGGACTCCCACTACTTGTAATGAGAGAACCTCTCCTTTGGGGATTAAATGAATAGGAGATGAGATGCCTTTGGAATTCAGATATCCAGACTTAAGCAATATATGGAAGGCTCAAGCAGGGATTTCTAGTCTGAAAAAAAGTCTGTGAACAGGGGGGAAACATTTGGGAAAGGCTATATATTGATAGATCAGAGAACAGTTTAAACCAAAACCACCTACACATTTTAGTGAAAAGCCAGGCCCTGTTGTTTTTTGCAAGTTCAGAGAACCAAGATCAGTGCTGGAAATCATTAATCTTGATTGTTTTTATATTTTCTGTGCACTGCACCTCACAGGAAACGTTAACCGTACCTGGAACCTGCAGCGGACAAAGAACCTTCAAGTGACGATTGTGCCCTCCATTAAAAGTCAGTGTCTTTGGGCAAAGCAATGCAGCTTTACAGGGGAACTTGGCACTTCTGAATTCAGGGGTATGACTGGGCCAGCAGCCTCTGAAGGAATGGAGCAGACAGCACCAGCAAAGGAGACAAAATCACTTGGAGCATGCTCCCGTCCAGGAAGGGCTGTGTGGCACACCAGCTAGTACTGGGGGTGAAGAAATGGGGGGAGATGGTGTTGAACAGGTTTTGTCTCCTTTTGAAGAAAGCAAATGGGTTGGGAAGGGCTCTTTGGGGCTGGGCATTTTTACAAGGTGAAGGAAGAGTGCTCTTCCTGAGAGGTGCTATTCCTGCTCTTTGAGCTGACTGATCCCTTCTCTTTCCTCAGAGTCTGTTTATGTCCAGGCCATGTTCTTCAGCTTCCTGAGTTTCCTCTCCTTTTACCTGGGCTCAGTGGTTGTTGCTTTTGTGCACTACATTAGGTGAGTCGAGGGGTTATAAAAGAACAGCCTTTCTGTTTCTTGTCATCAGGGACACCACACCCTGCAGAAAATTTGGGATGAGTGGGGTGGCAAGCATCTAAGCAGAGCAGCTGAAGAAGTTCATGACTACTCAGTGGGCTCCTACTGACCGTCAGCCAGAAAATACTTCTTCCTCTGCTATGGGGACCATGGGAAGGATGATAATCTAAGGGTCTGCCCTCCCAATCTTGTAGTGCCCCAACCCTGTGTTTTCTTATATAAGGACATTGGGCAGCAAAAGGTGGGAAATGTGAAGGGACCAGTCTGGGATATGGAGTGTGAGAGCATGCTGGACTGAGAACTGAAATAAGTGACAGTGACACAGATTGGGCCTCGGAATCCCAAGAATGCTGGTTTCCTTCTTTACCTGCCTCCCCTGCCCCAAACTTAGGTGTCTGGGCTTGTGTTGAGAAGAATGTCTGCATGGGCATGGCTTAACTTCAAGACACATCAATGAAAATACATTTAATTGGAACAATTCAATGAAATGACTTAAGTGTGTGTTCTTATTTGCTGATATTTTTCTGTGTTGTGGGAATATGTTGGTAGGGGGTTTTTTGTTGGTGTGTTGTTTTTTTTTACCATCTTCCTTCTGCTTAACATCTGCATTGACAGGGGTGATATGGGCTTCTTAAGCATTGTGCTAATTAGTGCCTCTAGATCCTGCTGCTCCTTGAGTAGATTAATACATGCTTGGTCCCCTGAGCAGGGAAGATGGGTTTGGAAAGATGGTGTGAAGGTCTCTCCCAACATACTGAGCAGTGTAGGATGGGATAAATCATGGAAATGATTGTCCTGCCTCTGGTGGATAACTGAGGGGATGAAAAACCACTCTGTTGCTTTGGAAGTTAGAGAGGTGGATAGCAAGCAATCATGGCTGAGTTGTGTATGGTCAAAACAGTGTTTTTCTTTTTTGTTGTTATGTGTGTTTGTTTCTTCTGTGGTTATTTTTGTTGGTTTTATTTGGGTTTTTTTTTTTGAGCTTGTGCTACATTTACCTTTTGGTGTCCCAGATAATCCTGCCATGGCTGGCAGGTGATGAGATTTGTTGGCTGGCTCATGAGTACTGTCTGTTGCTTTGCAGGGTTCAGAGGAAGGCTTCAGCTGGGAGACTGAGCCCTGAGCATGGTAAGGTCTCTTCTCTGTCGTGTGACAGCTTTGAGTGAAGAGCACAGGCCCGGGCCAGGCAGAGGACAGGCTGTCAGTCGAGTACCTTCTGTCCTGGAGCTGTCTTCCCTGGCAGCTCATACAGACTCTGGTGCTGAGGAGAGATGTTAGAGCTTCCTCTCTGCCCTCACAAGAGGGGGCCTTTGAAGCCAGCTGCCCTGAACCTGGTCCTGACTCCTACCCCTAGGAGCTGCCTTTTAAAGGGGTGGAGGAAGGCCAAGCCTTGCCTGGACCTGGCTGCAGGCTAATTGCCAGGTCTGCTGATTTTTAAACAAGACAGTTTTGAGTATGTAATCTCTTATGCTTTAAGAATTCCTTTGCCTGGTTTAAGCATGGGGTCTTTTAATGTTTTAATTGAATTTAAATGTTAAATTGTTTTTCACTGGACGTTGCAGACAGTCAGGTGAATGAATGACTAACAGAGTTAGGTAGTGGTGTTTATGATATTTGTGTTGGCATTGGATTCAGTTTACTTTGTGCTGCACCCACATTTCCACAAGCTGCAGCCTTCTGCCTCATAAAAACAGAGCTGCATCTAAGAAGCTGCCAGTGAAAGATGGAAATTTTTGTCATGTGGATGGGGGGCACTGGGAGTTCTTGCTTTCTGGTGAGGTGTGGGAGTCTTTTCATTTTGATTAAATATTTAGTGCCTGCAAAGTAGTTCAAAGCATTGGTGCTGAGGTCATTTGTACCTCTCTCCTGGAGGAGGGGAGCACATAGTCTTGGCAGCATTGAGAGGTTCTTGATGTTACTCCTTTTTTGATGTGAGCAATTTCAGTCTCTCCGGTCTGCTACATCCCATCAGATAAGCATGGTAGTATAACTGAGCTGTGTTTAAAGGGTCAGCAGTGGAACTTCACTCTGACTGGCTTAATATTTCTGCTGAGGACCTGGGGACATTTGAATTCTTAGACTTGTTTTGTCAGCCACTAAGATTCACATGTACCCCTGTATTTGGAGTACATGTGAAAGAGTTTTTTTTCACAGCATGTACAGGGAACTGTAAAAATGTCCATAAATGTAATCTAATTTTATATCATTTGGGATGGATCCTGCTGTAAAACAGGAGCAGGTCTTAGGGCACTGGAGCAATGGGAAAAGTCTGTGTGTTGGGGAGTTTGAGTAAGCTGAAGGGACCTGTCCAAGGCTGTGAAAGAGCTCCAGGGTGCTGACAAGGAACCACTGTCTAAGACAAGGAGGCACAGTCTCAGCCAGGTGAGACCAGAAGTCCCAGGGAGTGCTGCTGATACTGCAGCTGAGGTTTAATGTGCTGAAGCCAACTTAGAAGCTGCCTTCTGAACTGGCCTGCTGAGAGGTGGAAGTTAAATTCTGGTGTTTGGAAAGTTCCCAAAGAAGTTGCAGGGCACAGATACTGGACTTAGTACGGACCTGGAGAGTAGAGAACTGGGTTGCTGAGCAGGGAGGACTGCTGAACAGCATCCCTGTGGAGGGAGAGAGGAGCACAGTTCCTTCATACTTTACAGCTTTCCTCCCAGAGGCACCTACTGCTTCTGACCTGTCCTCTCCCTTGTATTCCACTGCCACTTTCACATACCTGGCACTGCATGTTGCAGCCACGTCCTTTCCTCTGGGGAGGAATCATGTCCTACCCACATGCTGTTTCTTCATCTATTGTCTCTTCAGGGTGTGTCTGACTGATGCTTATAAAATGGTAATTAGCAGCTTCCCTGTCTTCCGGATCAGTGGACACACTGGCTTTCTCTGTTTTTTTTCTTTTTTTCTCCCCTTCCCACCCTTTGGAATGTCTTTCCCTCCCAAGTACCCCTGGTCTTGCCTTCTTCATTACTCCCTATTCCTTCCCACCAAGAAACTGGATAGAAATGCTCAGTAATGTGTCCTTGCCATTGGTCTTGGAATGTCCTGCCACTCCATGTGCCTCTTTCCTCTTCTTATCCATCTTATGTCTGGCTTCTATGGTTCACTTTTTTTTTTTTAATCCCATGGCACACATTCCCTTCCACATCCTCACTATCTGGTGGAGGCAATAGCTGGAGGAACCACGCCTGGTGTGGTAGATTTACTTTGCTGACTCACTCTTGCAGTGGGAAGTGGGATGGAAATTAGTGGGTGAGCTGGGTTCAAAGTGGCTGTTAGAGACAGGGCAGAGTGCCTCTTCTGCTTGGCTTGCCTGCTTTGTCCAGATTAAATCTTTGGTAACTTGGGAGAGAAGGTTGACAGGTCACTTGAGAGAATAAAGCCTGGGCTAAAATTAGGAGGGAGTATCCTTGTGGAACAGGACTGACAGGCCTAGGAATTGTGCTTGTGAACATAGGGAAATGCTTTTGCCCTCTTCCCAGTGATCTGGATTTCCAAATGACTTTTAAAGCAACAGGAAAAGCTTCCACAAGAGAGGGACATTGGATTGGAGGTGATGAGTAGAAGCTGCATCTTGCTCGTGCTGCAACCTACAACATCCTGCCAATCTCAGCTCAGGGCTCAAGGGCTGTCCCCTGGGGGCTGCAGTGGGCCAGAGCCCTCCCTCTGGTGCTCAGTCCATGCCATGTTCACTTCTGGTGCTCCTCTGAGCTGTTTGTTTTCTCTGATAGAGCAGGAGGATGAAGGAGCCAAAATTTGAGACCAAGTCTTAGCCCCCAGCCCAGCAAGCACAGCAGACGTGCCAAAGAGAAGCAGTAATTGGGACTTGAAATATCAAATATCATTGCTGTATGGGTGCTTCCCTGACTTGGGGTCAGTCAGGGACAAGTTTTAGATCTCTCTACATTTGTGGCTAATGAAAATGGGGTAAAAACCTTCGCAAGGTGTTACAGAAATGCCCAGAATTTCCAGTTGGAAAGAGTGCTCTGCCTGCACCTGCCAGTTTGAGACCAGTCAGGTACTGGGAAGCCAGAGATGCAGCTTGGGAAGCCAGGGCATTGCCAGGCTGCAGTGAGGCTTTAAATACTCTGCCACGTTCTGCATTGCTTTGCCACTGACTGACGACATGAGATTGTTGCAGGGATAAAGCTTTAAAGCAACTTAACTTGTGTCGCTGTTTGTCACTACTGGAAAACATGGTCCTGTTCCTGCTGCCCTTGCTTCCCTCCCTTTTGTGACTGACTTCTCAGTGAAGGGATTCAGCTGGCTTTGTTTCCTGCCATGTAGGTCAGCTGCTGAGCTCCACCATTGGGAGCAAAAAGAGGGAATGTGGAGGCAGGAGAGCACTCCTCCTTGCTTCTTATATGTGGACAGAAGGAAGGATGTTCCTAGCCCTCAAAGGCTTGCCCTTCTTGTCATCAGCACGAGATCATTACCACTTTTTACATAAGGCATTTTTTTCTTTCTCCTTGATTGGTTAAAATTATGTAGCAGCTGTCCTGCCAAAGTCTGTGACTCTTCCAGAGATAGCTGAAGGCAGCAGGATTTAAAGAGATTTGAAGACTTGCATGAGATGGGGAAAGAGAAGAACTAGAAATTCAGAAGGCTGTTAAGAACATCATGAGACTTGCTCTAAAATTTAGGAAGCCTGGCAGCCCCACAGTGTGATCTGTACAGGGTGCTGGCGGGGGGCTCCTGCTGCCAGTCTCACTGGCACCCTGTGTGGGGAGGCTGAAGGGAATGGCTTTCCTTCACACTGCAAAATGAGGGTTTCCCTTTTGCACAGTATGCTCTAGAGGGGGACTGCCATCTGTTTAGAGAAATGTTCCCTTTCTCAAGCCCTTCCAGCTCTTCAAGCTGTTTGTGTTAACCTCAGAGGTGTTTTGAAGCACTGACATCAAACTAACTGTCCCTCCTGGGTCTGTTTTACTGCAGGATCTGGGATGATGACTTCTTCACACCCCATCTCAGCCAGCACTCCTGAGGGAAGCAGCTACGGTGCTATTGGTACAGTATATTCCAGAACTGGGGCACAGGGAGTCTTCTCCCTGGGGTGGAGGAAGGCACTTTTAGGGTGATTTAACACCAGAGGAGAATAAAGCTGCAAGCTACTTTAGGAGTGTCTTGCAGTTATTAAAAAAAAAAAAAAAACAAACAAAAAAACCAAAAAACAAAATCAAACACAAACAACCAAATTACAGATTGCTAGGTTCAGGTTGCACTTTAGGGAAAAGCAACTACATAATAAAAGTGGCAAATCTGAAAGAGGTACCCCAAAAGACTGTCATTGGAAATGTGTCTTAGACAAAGCTACAGTCACTTGAGAGCTGTGGGTGACAGTGCTGCTTCAGGCAGGACGTTTACTAGTGACTGAAAAAGGTCCCTTGCAAGCAAGCTTCTAGGAGCCTTTTATTAGCTCACAGTCTGCCTTTAAACCAAAACATACCTGTCCCTGGGAGGCTGAAGGGTTGTGTGCCATAAAGCAAGACACAACCAGAGTTTCTTGCCCCCAGGGGTTTCACTAGGGAAGAAATAATGTCATACTGACAACAGGTGAATCGTGTCCTGGAGGCAGAGGAGAAAAAAGCTTCCTGAGGGCTTAATGACCACTTTACCCCTCCTTCCCCTTTTTCCAAAGAAATCTTTTAAAAGCATTTGGGAAATGAGGAAGAAACCCGTGTTTTGCCCATACCGATGTGGGAGTTGCCCAGCCTGTGGGAAGTGCAGGCTGTCCTGCTAACCTGTATGTGACCAGTACCAGGGATGCAATGGGAATAAAGCTGGTACACTGCTTGCTTTGAAAAATTTACTTTCTTCTTTGTCTTTTGTTCTACAGTATTTTTAGAAAAGCTTAGATATATATAAAGCTTACATAAAATCTGAAGGTTAACTAGGTGAGTGTGGTTTTGACCCCTAACAGTCTGCTCTTTCTCTAGAGGTGCTTGTCTTGTCTCAGAATTTCAGATTTCAGAGCCTGGGCTAGTAGAGAGTAGAAAATGTTAAGAGATGAAAAGTAATAGAATAAAAACAAAGTGAAAACTAAAATGCTGAAGAGAGGGAAAGATAATGGTCCTTGAAACTGCTCTTAGCTGAGCACCTAAACTTCTGGAAGGTTTGGGATCATGGAAAAATTTTTCCTTGAACTGGCCCTATCGACTTGTCAAAGCACCAAAGCATCTGGCACAGCTGGATTCTTGCTGTGCCTTTACCCTGCCTGTCTCCTTCTCCCCGCTGCGGCCCAGACGAGTCCAGCTCCAGCGGTGGACGTCAGCTGTCCTCCCCGGAGCGCAGGCCCCCGGCTGGCTCGGACACAGACAGCTCCGTGGAGGAGGAGAGCGACTTCGACACCATGCCAGAAATTGAGAGTGACAAGAACATCATACGCACGAAGGTACGGCTGGTGCTGGGCCGTGGGCACGTCTGGGCCGTGACCAGGACTGGTCACTTGAGTGAAATCTCAAAAATCCTGTTGCCTTTCAGGCTGGATTTCATCTAATACAGCTGAGTGTGCTTCTTAGTCTTTTTTCAGTCACTGGAAGTTTTCCCACTGTGATAAGAGTGCTGCTGAAGTGAGTGCTTTATTATGGAAAATCAAAATGTATTGGACTATGGAGAAAGGAGGAAAATGCCCAGAGAAGTTCAAGGAGGTGTGAAGATAGGGAGAAAATAATCTGCAGCAGCAGGTGGCTATTTAGTACAAGTAGTGTGACTATAGTGGATGTACAGAGGGCCTTTAAGCCAGCAGCTCTCAAACACCTCTTGTCATCCTGCACTGCTCTGTGTGGTTGGAGCCATTTCTGGATGTCAGAGGATTTTGCAGAACTCAATCCCATAGAATCAAGGGCCACAGTGAGTTCACTGTGTAAAACCAGTTCAAATACCACCAAGCTGCAAATATGTCAAGATCTTCTACTGGCATCTGTAATCTACATTGATTCTTTTGTGTTTTCTTCCCTCTTTCCCCACCTGATAATGTTTTAGGTGTTCCTCTATCTATCAGATTTGTCCAGGAAAGACCGAAGGATTGTCAGCAAAAAATACAAAATCTATTTCTGGTAAGGAGAAGCCAAACTGGTAAGACCCAAACTCTGCACCCATAGTCTCTGGTTGTGGAGTCTGTCTGCATGCCTTTCTTCTGAACCACTTCTGAACTACCCTCTTGCCCATTCTGATCCTGTTCCAATCAATCCCACATACCTCAAGTAAGGATATTTGTGGACCAGTGCGCACATGATCCTGGCAATGGACTCTGTTTTGCATCATTTGCTTTTAAGCGTGGTAACAACCAGTGCACTGAAATGTAATGGGAAGGAGGAGAAACTGGCACTCAAACACATGAGCTTGTTGCCAGCACTCTGGCTTTTCCTGTGCCCTTAGCATTTGCCCCTGGTTTGCCACCTGTGTGTATGAGCACACGTGCTCTTCTGCATCAGGGGCTCACAATGAGATCGTAACACCAGAGCAGTGAGGTGTGCACATTCCTCCACGAGCACTGTGGGCCTTTCTTCTGGGTGTGCACCCCTGGTTTTGGTGTGTGTGTAACTGCTGCTGCTGTCTCCCCTCTGCAGGAACATCATCACCATTGCGGTGTTCTATGCCCTGCCGGTCATCCAGCTGGTCATCACTTACCAGACGGTGCGTTTGGCTCCAAGGCTGCCCCCTTTTGCTTTAAACTTGCCCTGTGGTTGTGTTGTGCAAGGGTGACAGTCACAGTGAAACTGGGGTCACCCAGGAGTTCTGCTCTGTGTGAGGAGCAGTTTACCTTAGCTGCTCTCGCTGCACTGTGTTGACGTTACAGTGAGCTTGGCTCATTGGGCTTGCACTTCTGCTATTTCTGCTTGGGAAGTGGGAGTGCTGCTGTTTTCCTGATCAACTGATGTCTCATTTTGGGTTCTGCTTCATTTTAGAGACAGGAGGAATGTGATGTTATCTCTGAAAGCAAGTAGTGTTTGCTGTGATTTCTTCTGCCTTCTCCCAGCCTTTGCTATCCTGCTGTTACTCAGATATCTGCAAGCAGGTCTATTAGTGGGGGGGTTGAGAGCACACAGTGTTTCCTCTGAAGACTGTTATCAGGTTTGTGGCCCTTGACAACATTTTGTCCCACTCTAAAAGCTTTGCTTGCAAGATGTCAGTACTCCCCTGTGTGGGTGCTAGGCTGCGTCCTGGTAGGCCTTGTGTTTGTGCTGTGTTTACATGGGGCAAACCCCCCAGAGCAGGGAGGGTTTGCTAATGGCAGGCCTCCCATCTGCTCTCTGTCCAGGTAGTGAATGTGACTGGCAATCAGGACATCTGCTACTACAACTTCCTGTGTGCTCATCCCCTTGGTGTGCTGAGGTGAGTGAGCCCTTTCATCACTGCATCTTTGTCGCGTACCTCCTGAGTGTTTGTGCTGTGTCCAGGTCTCAATTTTGTAATTGCCAGGCTCACAGTAGCAGTGTTGATAAGACCACTGGGAGTTTAGGACTCTGATCTTTGTGTTTTGTTCAGCAGTGCTGCTCTGTTGCAGTGAGACACACTCACCCTAGAACTTGTGGTTCCTGGGTGCCCCTTGCAAGTCATTGGCACAGCGATGAGGTGCTCCTGTGCTCTATAGGACTCTTGTATCCAAGGAGCAGCAGCTCTGCAAAGAAGTTCAGATCAGTCCTTCCAGTGTAGCATTTCTCTAAATTAATGTGTGAGTGCAAAGGAAGCCCAGAGTTGGGAATCTCTCAGAAGTGTTAAATTAACTGGGACAGGTGAACTATTTGAATTAATTGTCACCTGGAGAGTTAGATTGCAGTTTGGCAGCTGCTGAGGTGGAAGGTGGTGGAGGGGGGGAGCAAAATGGATTCAGCTTATCACAACCCAGGGTTCAGCTTCCTGCTGCTGTGCTGCCTTTGTCTTAAACCTTCTTTCCTGCAGTGCCTTCAATAACATCCTCAGCAACGTGGGCCACATGATGCTGGGCTTTCTCTTCCTCCTCATCGTGTTGCGCAGGGATATCCTCCACCGTCGGGCCATGGAGATGAAAGATATCTACACCCTGGTAGGAGGCTGGATTGCCTGGGGCTGAGTGGAGGCAGGGAGCATGGAGTGAACTCAAAAACCAGAGTGGTACACAATGGGTTTCCACTTGTCTTCCTCGCTGGAGGGTTGAATCCTTCTCTTTTTCTCCTCCTGTGCAGAAGGGTCAAGGTGGGATGCTTATATTCCTGCACACCCCAGTGCTTTACTGCTTACAGTATGTCCATGCTGCTGTGGTGGTGACCCAGCCTGGGCCTGTGAAGACAAGGAGATTAATAGAGGAAGGAGTCCCATGGCTCTGGCTTTTCCTGCAGTGCTTGCTGTTGAGGAACTGGGACAGCAGGAGTGTCCCAAGATGCTTCTCTTTATAGTGAAGTTTGATTTGTCTTACACAAGAGCTGCTTAATGATAACTCAGACGAATTTGGCTGCCTCAGTCTCTGAAGCAGAGATTCTTGTAGCCAGAACTTCTGTAGTCTCTCGTGGGAGAGGATGGAGAAATCTGCAGCCCTGTGGGCAGAGTTGCTGGTGGTTTCTGGAGACAAACAGCTCTGTTCTCATGGGCTTGGTAGCAAGTAAAGGCACTAGTGATTGTAATGGTCTGCTGCTTGGGTTTTCAGGTGAAATCTTGGCAAAATTGTGGTGGAAATGACTTCTCACATTGGCTGATGGGCTCTACTCAAGAGCTCCTAAGACCCTGCTGAGCACAAGAGCAATTCTGGTCAGTCCTCTCTCAGTTTTGGGCCGGATGTAGCATAGCATGAGGTACAGGACAGAGATTTTCAGTCACATGATGTCAGTACCAAGACATTGAAGTCTTCAGATCAGACCTTCCAGCGTGATTAGCTTAGGTTTGCTGCCTGTGGATTCACCTGGCTATGCCATGTATCTAAATCCAGAACCTGTGGTTGCACCCAGGACACTGTGCTGCACTGATGACTAGAGGAATTGTGTAGGAGTTAGGAGGGATGAAGTGATGGAGAATGGAAGCTTGCCTGTGATCAGGACACTGAGGACACTTATTATACAGCTCTGCTCTCTTCCAGGACTATGGGATCCCAAAGCATTTTGGTCTCTTTTATGCTATGGGCATTGCTCTGATGATGGAAGGGGTGCTGAGTGCCTGTTACCATGTCTGCCCTAATTACTCCAATTTCCAGTTTGGTAAGCTGAGTTTCCTTTCTCCTTTTGAGCTGAAGCTAACGATTTGCCATGTTCTGTCTCTTGCTGAGTTGCTCACATTTCGCATCTCTCTACCCTTGCAAGTTTCCCTGGAGTCTGCCTGTTTCAAAGCTCAGTCAGGAGGTTGTGATGCTCTGTGGGCACTTATTTTCTGATCCCCTTTAGTTTTTGTTTCCCCAGAGCACGGAAGATGTGCTGCTGCAAGGTGGCAAAGCACAAAGTGCTGTACAGTGTAGTGCAGCCGCAGGGCTAAACCCAAGGCTGGCAGGCATAGATCCCTGATGCTTTTTGTGACCTTGGAGCAGCTTTCTGGGGCCACTGGCAGTAGGTGTTGACTCTGTTTCTGTTGTGTCCCTCCACAGACACCTCCTTCATGTACATGATCGCAGGACTGTGCATGCTCAAGCTCTACCAGACCCGGCACCCAGACATCAATGCCAGCGCCTACTCCGCCTATGCCTCGTTTGCTGTGGTGATCTCCCTGGCTGTCCTTGGAGTGGTATGGCTCCCTCTTACTCTGCTGCTTCTCTGGGTTGGAGGTGGCATGGCTGGGAATACAGCTGAAGTGTGAAAATAACTGGGCAAAGCTGCAGAGTAGGATAAGAGTGTGTCAAGCAGCTGTCAGCGTTTGAAGTCTCAGTTCTGCTGGGCTTTCCTCCTCCCTTCCCCTGAGCTTTCAGGTAGGAGAAGAGCAGAACAGTTTCCTCTGGGTGGGCTCTTGTTTTGGGCTTTGCCCATCACATGCCATCCTTCTCAAGAGCAGAAATGCATGCACCCAGATATACATGTCCCAGTGCATAGATGGTCTTCCTGGGGCATGATTCACATTGTAGGAAAGAGGGGTGAGGCTGGCTGGGCTTCCAAGACAGGTATCTTATACCTGTTTGCTTGTGCCTATTTCTCCCCTTTGGAATACTCCATGTTGTTTGTCACAGCTTCTGCAGTTGATTTTCCTGTCTCTGGAGAGGAGCAGGGTAAGGATGATATATGGGGGGCTCTCAGGCAAATTCCTGGAGTACCTGCCAGTGGAAGGGCACTGGAGCAGAAGCTGCCAGACTTTGCCTGTTTGCTCACAGCATTGCAAGTACTGAGCTGGGCTCACCGGGATCCTCAAGCTGTGCTTTTCCTTGGAGGTCTCTGCTTCTCTTCTTTTGAAGGACTCGTTTTCATTCATCAGTAACCAGGCAAAGTCCATGGAATTCTTGCTCTGAACTGGCAGCTAGATGCCAGTGGGCTGTGAGCTCCTCACTACCACATAATGCAGAGGTCTCTGTTTACAAGACTGTCTGTGGGATAAGGCATGCAGGAGGAGCTAGTGACCTTGGGACTTGCCAAGAATCTCTTGATAGGTGTGGTAGATCTTGACAAGGTTCAAAACACTGAGACTTCATTGTGGATTGCTCTGTCTTCTTTTGTGGGATGCTTTGAAGCTGTTCAGTGGAGCTTGAAAGCAGCATGTCTTCCTTGTTCCATTCATGGATAGGTGGCTTTTCCACTTGCTTTTTGATGTGTGGGTTTTTATCTCTGCTTACACAAAGTGAAAATTTCAGGCAAGTGCTTTGCCCCAGGGTAGGGAAGTGGTCACAGCCTGATGGCACATCAGAGTTTCTGGACTTCTTATTGTATGAATGAAAAATTAGGATTTTAATGTAACGTTAACCTGTGCTTGCAGGTTACTTCCAGTCCTTAAATAAAATGAAAATGCACCGTAGGAGCAATTGCCTGCAGAGCAGTTCTGTCCTTTTTGGTCTACTTCAGTACAGTTGTTAAAGCAATGGTTGGTTCCCTGACTGCCTTTGTAAAAATCCACCTCCTAGCCATAGAACTGCTACCCAGCTCAGCAGAGAGCTTGCTTGGCCTTGTATTTCTGCTGAGCTGGGCCAGCTGCTGTCCATCCACTCTTGTCTAAAGGAGCATTCAGAAAGAATGGTCTCCTCTCCAGGATGCTGAGCTAATCTTGCTTCTCTGGACTTCATTTTGAATTTATACATCTGTTTTCTGGTTGGAAGATTTAGCGGTTTCTTTTCTGTGTTCAGTGAGGTTGTTTAATGTCCCATGGTGATATAGCCCAGGAAAGGATTGTCCTGCTGAAAGAGGGCTCAGTTTACTTTTAAAATGTCTTTGCTTTCAGGTGTTTGGAAAAAATGACATGTGGTTCTGGGTTATTTTCTCACTGATCCACGTTTTGGCCTCACTGGCTCTCAGCACCCAGATCTACTACATGGGTCGCTTCAAGATCGGTGAGTGCTGTGACCGAACCATCTCCTCCTGGGTGTGCGGTGCCTCCTGTCCTCACCTGCCTGTGCAGCACAGTCCTGTGGCCCCTCTTCTGGGCTACCCTCTCCTCTCATCCATCTGATGCTTTCCTGGCCTCTGAAGTCCTTGTGCTCCTGATTCCCACTGGGAATCAGCAGGAGCTGTGTGGTGGCAGGACTGCTGGGTCCTGAGGGAGCTCAGTTCTCCCTAGCGCTGTGCTCGGAGTGGGGACCTACACCCTGTAATGGGGTGGGGGGGAGAGGGCCTGCTGGGGAGCCTGGCTCTTGTGCTCTGCTTAAACCTATTTCTTCTTCCTCTTCTGCCCCTGTCTGCCTCAGATGACCCTGACTCAGGTAACCACAGCTTTCCTTTTTCCCTGTAGAACCGATTGTGCTGAGCTGTAGCAGCTAGGGATTGCATGGACGTGTGTGGGGAGGCAGGATCGTGTGCCACCTGGGGTCAGCTCTTGGGAAGTGAAACCAGTTTGCCAGCAGCACTGCCAGTCCTGTTCCTTGGCAGGAGGGGAGTGATCCAGCACAGGAGAGCTCACATCTTGGTGCAGGAGCCTTTTCAAGCTCTGTGTTGTGGCTAAAGAGGAACATGTGTATTCATGCATGTTTGTCCATCCCTGTTGCCACTGATGGCTCTGCAGTGAAGCTTCTGCAATGATTTTGAGAGCAGGAGTGTCTTGAGTGTGCTCTGCCCCTCTAGGACGCTCTAAAGCCTGTGGGACATGTTTCTGCTGTTTCCCTGCTCTGGCAACTTGTTCCATGGAAGGTGCTTTTCCCCCTTCCTACACACACACATGTCTCTTCCAGAGATGGGATTGCAAAGCCAGCCTCTTTACACCTACAGCCAGGGCCTGTGTGACTTCTGAGCAGTGCTAGTGTAGAGGGGGTTTTTAAATTTATTTTGGTTGTAACCTGTTGCTCTGGCCAACTGCTGTCTGCATCCTGCGGTGGATGCCCTCCTGCTCAGCACAGAGTGCTTCCAAAGGGCAAGACATGAATCTGCTGACATGTTGGGCTGTCTGTTGTCAGCTGGTGGGTGTCAGCTTCTTCCTCACAGGCATTTTAGAGCTCACTGTGCTGGCTGTTCTGGCTTTCTACCCTTTCCTTTGACAGACACGGGCATATTTCGGCGAGCAGTGATGGTGTTGTACACGGACTGTATCCAGCAGTGCAGCCGACCAATGTACATGGTAGGTGACTTCTCATCCCAGCACCCCTCTGCAATTCCTCCCTTCTTCAGGCAACGTGCAGAGGAAAGAGATGGGGCTGTTTGAAAAAGTGGTGGTCCTTGCTCCCCTTGTTCTCCTTCCCCCAGAATGGTTGGGTAAGTGTAGGTCTCTGCTGGAGCGGTTTACCCCCAGTCTCCAGGCCTCCCCTCATCTCAGCCTTGGTGAATAAAACATCAGAGCAATGGTGATACAAGCATGATAGCATTTGCCTTTGCACTTGCTCTCTGGGAGCATCCATTCAGAGGAGCAGGTACGAGGCTCTGTGCAGTGCAGCCTCTCTGGGGAAGGCTGTAGCTATTTTGGGTCTGTGGCTTAAGCAAAAGCAATTGCCATTTCTGCAGCACCTCAGGTCAGACAGCAAAAAGTTAAGAAACGGTGGCTGTTCCCTTGTGTCCCACTGATTGCTTTCTCCTTAGCAGAGAGTGCTAATTAGGGCTTGAAGCCACATGGAGTTTTTATCCATAAACCTTCTTAATTTTTTATTTATTCTCCCATCTCTGAATAAGCAAACTTGGTCCACTCAGGCATGAAGTAAGCCTGGCCAGCCTGAAACAGCCAGATCATGAAAGCAGCTGTAAGCATAAATGCACATGCCCCACAGATACAATCCTTCTGCCTGCTATTGTTACAGTGCTTCCCCAACTAATGGTGAGATGGCAAGGAAAAAAAGGCTCCCTGAATATGTGCAGGATGCTGTCCAAAGCTTCCCCTGCTACCTCTTTCAAGCACGTCCTGCTCTCTGCAGTAATTGTTTTGTAAAACAGTGGGAAGGAAGGAATGTAACTAGAAAAACAGTAGAAGCAGTCAAAGGATTCACTGAACCTCCTGAGGCTGATCCCTTAAATGCTGAGCTTGTCCTTTCTTAGATGTTTAGTCGCCTTACAACACTTTCTTAAAATTTTTGAGGGTCAGAGCAGTTTCCATCCGATAAAAGCTCCCACAGAGCCAGGTGCATGTTTGTTTGCAGGAGCTGGACTCCAAATCCTCACATAATGCTCTCCTGAATTTCTGAGGCAAAGGCCTTTTTGCATACTCTTTTCACTTTATATGATCTTCAGTGTCTTTTCTCCAGGACAGGATGGTGCTGCTCATCGTTGGGAACCTGGTCAACTGGTCCTTGTAAGTACTGGCGTGTTGGTGCTTTGTGTATTTGTGCAGGATTTGGTACTGGGACACGGGTGGCCTGGAGTCCTGGGGAGATGCAGCAGTGTCTGTGCAATGATCCTGTGCTGGGGCCCTTCTGGCACGTTTTGGCAGGCAGATCCCTGGGGTCCAGTGCAGCACTAGAGCTACATGGAGCATCCCCTGAGCATTTCAGCTTGGGGTGTCTCATGGCTCATGTTTGAGGAGCTTGTGCAGGTACTGTGCTGCTTGTGCTGCTGTGTTGTGCCTCCCACAGAGCTGGGAGATCTCTGGCACAGCCAAGGTGCAGGAGACCTGGCAGGCACTCAGTGACAGAGCCTGGCTGAGCAGTAACTGCATGGGAGGGATCAGCTCTCGGATGAGACCTAAAATCGTTGCCCCAGGCTCTTGCTTTTCACTGAAGCTGCTTCTCAGGGACACGCCTTCTACCAAATGTACAGCTCTAGGGCCAGATCCTACCAAAGGAGATGTGTTTGGCCATGGGTTGGAAGCAATCCAGGGCCCTTGCCTGTCCTCTGGGGTCTCCAATTGCTTCAGCGTGTGACCATGGCTAAATTTCCTTGGCTTGGAGCAGAGGCAAACAGTGCATTTCCCCCAGGGAATTGGGAAGCTGTGGCACTGGTGCTGTGTCCTGCAGTCCTGGTGGGGGTAGAACAGTGGGTGGCTGTCAGTTTGGGGATGTACCCTGTCCCCAGTGAAAGAAGCTGCCTGATGTCCCTCCTGTCCTCTCTCTCAGTGCTATCTTTGGGCTGGTGTATCGGCCTAGAGACTTCGCCTCCTACATACTGGGAATCTTCATCTGTAACCTGCTGCTGTATCTGGCCTTCTACATCATCATGAAGGTAATGGGAGGCAGCTGTAGCTGTCCCTGGGGCTTCTGGCTCCAAAGGGGAAGGGATGGGCCTTTTTTCTGGCTGCAATTTGGGTTCGTGTGGTGCTGCAGAGGGGTGTGGAGGGACCTTTGTGGGGCTATGGGTGGGACAGGGTGTTGGAGAGGGATGGTGTGCAGCCATTTCGGGGGTGGCTGGGCTGTATCTTTGGGGGGTGGGCAGCTCTTCACAAATGCAGGTAGTACAGGCTGCTGTGTGAGCCCTGTGCATGGCTCTGTGCCCTGGAAAGAACTCAGGCTGTGTCCCTGTCTGCAGCTCCGCAGCTCTGAGAAACTCCTGCCCATCCCCATGTTCTGCATCGTGGCCACAGCAGTGGTGTGGGCAGCTGCCCTCTACTTCTTCTTCCAGACCCTCAGCAGCTGGGAGGTAAATTTCCCTTTTACTGTTCTTCTGTCCATCTCTTTCTCATCATCTTTCCTTCCTGGTGCTTGCTTTGCACAAAAACTACTCTGGAGTCTTGGGCTGCTCATGGGGAGCTGAAAGGGTTTAACTCATTTAGCAGACTTGTGAAGGGAGCATGGGAAGCTGTGCTGAGCCAAAAATGACTGTAGCTGTGTAGAGGCTGTTTATAACCAGGTGATCTGGAGGTGACTGGTCCTTCCTAGGGGACAAAGGAAGAGCTGGGGATCTGGAAGGAGAACTGGGAAAATCCTGACCAGTGCTGGTGGAAGACATTGCTGGAGCAGATGGCCACCTGGGGTCGACCAGGTCAACCTGCCTGGGGTTGTTAGGGCTCTTGGTGACCTGGGACGCCATTAAATCCTGACTGGGTGCCTTCTAACAGGATGTCACATCCATCTCCATGGAAATGAGGGGCTTATTGCAGGGTGGTCTGGTGGAGGCTGTGCAACCTGTGCTATGCAGGACCTCAGAAGTGGAGAGCAGAGGGTTCCCCTTGCATGTGGGTTGTGGTTCCAGATCCATTTGGAAGTCCAAGTATAACATTGTGTTGTTTCTGGCCTGCCCATGCCACATTTCTGGCCAGCACAGCAACTTTTCCTGGATCCTGCTTGGAGGATTAAGATAGGGTGATCCCTGTAGGGTCTAGTGTGGCCAGCAAGGGCCCGGTAGGAGTGGATATCAGGTCCTGACCCTCTGCCTGCCCTCCTAGGAGACTCCAGCCGAGTCCCGGGAAAAGAACCGGCCGTGCATCCTGCTGGGATTCTTTGATGACCACGATGTCTGGCACTTCCTCTCTGCAGCTGCCTTGTTCTTCTCCTTTCTGGTGAGTCCTGCTGAGCCTCCCACTCTGCTGGATGGCCTCACCCTCTCCTTTCACCTTGCTCCCCTCTGTGCACATGGAGCTGTGCCTGCTCCAAAACTCCACAAAAGTGCTCCAACTCCTCTGCTTGGCTCTACCTCCAAACATCCTTCACAGTGGGATGCTCCTTGTCAGTGGAATCAGGGGTCAGGCTTTCTCCTTTACCTTATTTGTCTCACAGTGCCTTCTGGCCTCAACTTCCTTCTGGGTCACACAGCTGTTATGGGGAAGCTGGGGGGCTGCTGCTGTGACCAATGACTCATGGATTTGTGAATTCCTCCCATAAAGGCAAGGCCTGGGTATCTGAAAGGAAGACCTCCCTGGCCGGCAAGACCTGAATCTGGCTTGCACTTTCCTCCTCAGGTCCTGCTGACCCTGGACGATGACCTGGATACGGTGCGCAGGGACAAGATCCCAGTGTTCTGAGTCCCCAGGGACAGGGGCGCAGAGGTGTCCCAAACCACTCAGCCAAAGGCACTGGGCCACTGGTGTCTGTGGAGAATGAGCCTGCTTCCATGGCCAACAGCCCAGTGGGAGCAGGGGCACTGGATCCCCCAGCAGGCATGGAGGGGTGCTGTGGCAGTGAGGGGGGACCAGGAGGGAAGACGATGCTACTCCTTTCCTGCCGCACCTCTGGGGCTGGCTTGATCCAGAGGCCAAGGCCCGTGCACAGCCCTCTGGCTTTTGGGTGCAGTGGGTGCTGGAGCCAGTGAGGGGGGAGGAAACAAGAGGGAGGCATGTCAGAGACCTTGGCTTCCCTTTCTTCCTGCTGATGTGCTCCACTTCCTCTCAGGTGAGCAGGCTTGAGAGTGCCGTGCAAACCTTCCTGCACAGGGAGCTAATGTCTGCACCCTGCAGTCTGCTGCCCTCCAAGAGTCCCTTCAGCAGCAGCAGCTGAGGGAGAAAAGGACTCCAAACTGAGGTGGCAGTGGGAGGACTGTGTTTTCTTTTTTCCTCTTTTTCTTGGAGAGACTCCTTCGGTAGCTGGTGGGGAGCCACGGTACCAAGGCTGCGGCGTCGGTGGGAGGTGGTGAACTAGAGCTGCCTGTGAGGGCTCTGCCAGACTCAGAGCCTCCTGCCTTGCTCTCGTGCAGCCTCTCTGTCGCTCCTGTTGAGCAGCCACACTCCTCTGGCAGCTCCTGCTGGCACTTGGCCGTGCTCCGCTCTCTGCCACGGCACCACAAGTGCTCTCCTCAGCGACCCTGCGAGAGCGCACGGCAAAGCCACAGCTTGTGTGTGACATCCTGCTGGGTGCCTTGCCAAAGGGACAGGGAGGGACAGGGAGGTTTGCCAGCAGCCTCAGACTTTCTCCTCTCATGAGCTTGCCTTGGACAACCTTGGCAAAGTAGGTTCTCTTATGGGCTGGGAGGATGAACGAGATTTTGGAGCAATTGGTGTTGAGCTCTTTAGCTAAAGATGTGGACCAAATTTTCTTCTCCAGCTTGTCCAAATCGGAAATGAGTTTTTTAATGGCTTCTGCATTCTTTCCAGTTTTTTCGTTATTTAAAAAAAACCCAAGAATAAGAATAAGGTGTGAATTACTTCAGGCCTTGCATCTAAAATGGGACCTGTTTTGCTAATTGCTAATTTGCAATTAAAAACTGTTCTTTGAGGCCTGTTGTCCTTATTCTTGTCTGCCTGAGCATTTTTACTTTGGTATGTGTGCATGTAGCCAGTGATGCAAAGGTTTCATTCCACTTCTGCTTACTAAAGCAGGTGACTCTGGTGATATTTTACTCCAAGAATCTGTATCTCCTTGAAGAGTTTTGCACCAGCTGGTTTTTATTTTTTTTCTAAGTTGGAGTTTATTGAGATGGTCAATAAAATGGATGTTGCTGGTTCCCTGCTCTGCAGGTTGATCTGAATTCTTCTTGCTCCTGCTCCCAGCAGCAGACAGCAGTCAGGGTAGAGGGGTGCCCAGTGGTGTCACATGGCTGCTGCCACCCTTGGGACTGTCACAGGTGTTTCTGGAGCATCGGTGTGGATGACCTACTTGTTCTCTTAACCCAATTGCCTTTGTGAGGTTACACAGAGTAAAGAACAGACACTTTTGTTTGTCACTGTAGTCCCTTGGGCAGGGTGAGGAGAGGGCTGGAGGAGGAAGGACACAAGAGGCTGCCAGCCTTTATCTTCCTGAGCAGAGCTGTGCTGCCCTGAAGGGTGTTGGGGTAGCTGTGCCACACTGAAGGAGGACCTCTGTGCCCCCACATTTGTCCAGTTCTGGGGACACATTTTTATAAAATAGACCTTCTCCCTGTGTTTTCATAATCCGTAGTCTCAGATAGTGTTCCAAGCTCGTATTTGTTTCTAGACAGGAAGCTGGTTATCTTCTCTAAATTGAAATATGAGGAAAAAATAATGTTGAACAGCAGTTGGAAGGCTCAGTGTAGGAGGTAGAACAGCATATGGGCTTGCTGTGCTAAGCAGAGATGAACACAGCATGGAATGGTAAGGTGGTAGCAGGGAGGGAGAGGGAGGCTGGGGAACAGCACAGAACAAACAGAAAACCATGACAGAATTTAATTAAATACAAGGAAAGGCACCTCAGGCCTGAGAGATGGGAAGAAGGGTTGGAATCGTCTCCCTGCTGCTTCTGTGCTTCCAACTTGCTGCGTCAATTTTAAAATTTCCTCTTAGCTTTGTCCTGCCTGCTGGGCTCTCTTGGCTCTCCAGCTCTCCCAGCTGGTGGCCACCTGACCCCTCGATGGTTGTGGCTGCTGGGGGCCTGGCTGGGCACTTGGGCACTCTGTGCTCCCTGCTGTCCCAGGCACGCTTGGCTCTGCAGCCCTTGCCCCAGAAATGCAGCTTTTCTTGGGTGCTGCTGTCCTTCTTTGGCCACTGCCCTCGGGCAGGAAGAGCAGCTTGCTGGGTACGTGGGGGACCCTCATTCCCTAATTTGCAGGGGTTATGCTGTTGTGTCCTCACCTTGCTCTGCTCACAGAGGGAGACAGATGTGTAGGGGTAAAAGCAGAGCAGAACTGTGGAATTGTGTTGGGAGGTGAGGGGGCCTTTTTGCTGCCCATGTGCTGGCAGTGGAGTCACTGCCCCCGAGATGGCAGCGATGGCAGCTTGGGCCTGGGAGGCATCCTGCACAATGTGGAATTTCAGCAGGCAGCCCGCCACTCAGGGCCTCAGACCCCTTAATACAAGTACTGGCCCATTCCCCAGGAAACAAAACTCTCCAGCCCAGGTTCCTGATGCCAGTTTGCAGGAGGCACTCGGCACTGTCAAAGCAGCGCGAGTTGCCGGTGGTGGCAGTGCGCTGCTGTGCCCATGCTTGGGAGAAGCTGCTGTCACAATTCTTGACAGGGAAATAATAGTGCCATGGGCAGGGACACCTCCTGCTTAGAACAAGTTGCTCAAACACCCATCCAACCAAGCCTTTCTAAAGATGGTGCATCCACCACCTGTCTGGACAATCTGTTCTAGTGTTTTACCACTCCCATTGTAAAAAACTTCTTCCCTACATTCCATATATTCCCTGTTTTCTCAGGAAATGCAGGTAAAATTGTGCAGCCCAGTACAAGTGAAAGGAGAAGGAAACAGCTTCTGGATAATACTGACATCCCTTCACAGGTTAGGAAAACTACCAGGGGTATGTGAGCTGTTACAACTCCCCCTTGAGCCTCTGGACTGGCAGAAGAGCAGCCAAGGCAGTGTGAAAAAGGAAGGCAACTCCCTCGTGTCCTGTTTCCCCTCCCCTCTATGACTGAACCAACACACTGGCTGTCACTCAAGGATCAAAAGCACCTCTGTCTTAATACTAAACTTCAGCTGTTTTTAAATTAAGACCTTCCCTAAAGGCAACTTCCATGCCTGCAAGAATTTTTTTGAGGTTTACAAGCCCCTGAAAATAATTGTTTTGTAGTAATTCTGTCAACTTCAGTGCAATCTCCCAAAAAAGCCTTTACTTACCTTGCAATGTCTCTGTACTGCTCTCATCCAAACTACATCTTTTAGCTTCAAACTGTGACAGAACAATTGTCTTAGACCACTTCCAAACAATGCAAGGGGACTGTGATGAGAAGCATTTTATACAATGAAGTTGTATCTCAACACTGATCGCTGTCACTGGGGCAGGGACAGCACCTGCCATGTATTTTTTAGATATTGCACAATCAGTATTTATTTATTCTGAATTACATAATTTTATATCTCCAACTAATATGGTGCATTACTCTGTGTATGCAGAGAATGGACATCAGTGGAAAACTCTGACTAAATTCCCAGTCTCAAAGCAAAGCTTTTATTTTTACCTCTACTTAAGAGTAAATGGCATAGCTGTCTGTGGGGAAAGAAAGAACACAATATTCAAAGAGTGTTTTTCTCTTTTTTTAATAAAATACTATCATGTTCATATCTATACAAATAATTATTACAACTATTAAACAAAGTATTACATTTAACAATAGAAATCTCAGAACTCTGAACAAGATCATGGTTTGAGATATTTACACCTGAATGCAACACATTTGTAAAAAGATGTCAAAATAAACAGAGCAAGATCTTATTTACAATTGGAAGATGATGCTCCTGTTCATTCATTATAGATTTCTACTGCAGAGTTCCTATTTTCCATTACAAAATAGTAAGGACTTTCCACTGGGACCGTATCCAAGTCATTTACAGCTGTATAAAACAGAAGCACAGCAGAATACTCTGGATTGAATATAAATAATTTACATTGTGGAGGGCAACAGCATCTTTGATTAATCTCCTGTGGCAAAATCCATACTTGCTTCCCTTCTCACAGTGAGCAGGCAGGAACAGGGTCCAACCCCCCACAAGCTCTATTGTTTCACACTTGTGCCAGAACAGCAGCACATATTGCAAACTTGGAAACCTTCTTATAAAGAGACTTCTGGTGAGGCAGGAAAAAAGTCTTTTTTTAAAAAAAAAAAAAAAGATCTCAGAAAAACTGATATCAGCAAATAATAAATGGTGTCTGTGTAACTAAGCAGGGCTTGCTCGCAGAAAATACGAATTTGTATTGTCAGGTCCAAAAACCTCTGCTTTCACCAGTTCACAGAGAAACCTTTTTTCAGTGGGAATAAAGCCTTGTGCTCCAAGGTTTCCAATTTACGCATTGCAGAGGCAGTGGGAAATTGAAAACACCCTCACACAAACCTGTGTCTGCTACCCATGCTGGATCATGGCAGTGGAGAAGGGAACAGCAGGAGGTGGTAACAGGTCAAGTGACAGCAAAAAGTGGATCTCCTTATAGCATAGTGTCAGCAAACAAAACAAATATGACTGATCTGGCACAAACAGATCCAATGCTACTCTGTCTTGCCAGGAGAAGTTAGATCATTATTAAAGTGATGAGCATGAAACTTACTAAGGGGACAGCAAGAGATGACAGCTCTTAGCACACTGTCATCCAGAAACATTGGGAATGTGACGTGAGCCAGGACTGCACAAGTACC